GAGGCAATTGGATAAAGAAAGACGTCAAGATGATCAAATGTAGTCAAAAGATGATCACAAATTAATTTCCAACCGAAAAGTTATGCTCCGGTGTTTTAGTATCATATTGAGACCTATTTTTGGCATAGAAAATGATCAGATTGGAGAATGATATCTGAATCAAAGTTTAGTCAGATGAGTTAGCTTTACAACGCATTTTGAATCGCCTCAATCGGATATCGAAATACAAAGTTATGATAAAAACAATGAAAGAAGGTGCAGCTGCCTGTTTAAAACAAGAAATTCCGTTATATAGTCCCTTAAAACAACAAATTCTGTTAGTTTTTCCGTTAAAACAAGAAATTCTGTTATATAGCCGCTTTTAAATTTTAATATATAGAAGATATTATTCAAAACATCATTTTTTTCTCAATGACGACCACCAAAGGGGCTAAATATGCACCTATTTGGTATAGATTAAAATCAGATTTTTAGTAAATATTGATAAAAGTTGATACATCCTGTCTTAGATAAATCAAAATTGACTAATGAGTCTTGCTCAAATACTTGGTGAAAGGTGATTACTAATTTCTAATCGACTTAAATAAACTAATTTCTCCCAAACAAAACATTCTAAAAAATGTACTTCGTGTTTTAGTTCTCAAAAGATGCACTTTAATACTAATTTTTGACTTTTAAATCGTGCTAAAAAGGTCAAGTAATTAATATTCACTGAACAAAATTGAAGATAAATAATTTATTTACCTTCCGTTTGTTTCTTATTTTTCATCTATAAAAATGAAAAATACGATCATTATCTATCACATCAAGTCATCAATTTTGAATTTTTATATCTCGCGTGGAGCCTAATAACGACTATATTTTTTATTCTCATTCTACAATAATGAGAATCAAACGTACCCTTAATAGTAAATTAAAACATAGGATAAATAATTTATTTAATAGTAGTTTCAAAAGTGAGTTATAAATCTCACTTATCTTGTATGTTTGAGCCACATTATTTTGAAAGAATGTATTTTGGAATAGTAGATTGATGGAAAACGTGTGGTTGAGCCCCTGTTTGGTATACATTAAAATTTTTATTTTCATTCTTCTACTCATTTTCAACCACACATTTTTCAATTAAATAATATTTTTAATCACATCAATAACTTTTCCCTCCTTTTCAATCACAAATTCTCCATCAATCTACTATTCCAAAATACATTCTTTCAAAATAATGTGGATCAAACACACCCTGAAAAAGAAAGAAAAGTTATTGATGTGATGGAAAATATTATTTTATTGAAAAATGTGTGGTTAAAAATGAGTAGAAGAATGAGAATGAAAAAAATAATGTGAGTCAAACAGAGGCTAATATGTAATATGAGTTTTCAAGCGATCAAAATCGTCAATGTAGGATCATAATTTTACTCGACTTAAAGTTAGATACAAAACCATCAAGCCAATACAATAAAAAATTACGTACTATTTTTTTACTTCTAAGTTGATGTTTCGTTCACGTGTAGACCACATAAATTTAAATAGATTTTAAAGTTGAAATCAATAATCATACCATGTGAAATGTTGGAGAGCTCAACTCTGAACTTTTCTCGAAAGAAAAGTGAAAATTGGTTGAGTTAAGCCATTTGTCCGGACTCAACGATCGAGGCAAATGACAGGGCGTCGAGGGGCCCGATCATTGAGTCGGGCCCTATAGCAGATCTCAAATTGGTTTTCTTTTAACTT